AACTTAACTCATCATGTAATTGTGTTTGAAGAACTTCATGTAATTGAAATTAACATACATTCATTGACTGCATGTGTCTTTTTTTACTTTTTAGCTGGCGATATTCTTTTAACAGCTGTAATATCTGTCTTGTCTAATGAATATTTTCCATTTTAATAACTTCAAAGATTTTTAGAAACTACGAATAATATAGAAATTATTTCTAATCAATAAACTTACGTTTAGTACAAATGTTTAATTTGTTTTACTATTTTCAAGAAACAGGGTAAAATATTTTTCTGATTCAGGCATTTTTCACTAAATCAAGATTTGTACTACGTTGTAATTATAATTTTTTTTTATCTATGCCGATTTCCTTGTTGATATCGATACGGATACAATGTTGACGCCGGTACGCATACAACGACAGATCTCTATTCACATACACAACGACTAATCACAATCGACCCGTATAGAAATGATATAATCGAGAGCGTATCGACTGTCGTAACGCACTTCTGTTGCATTTGTACAGATTTACACCCTTATTTACGCGCCTAAAGAAGTTTTACTTCAAAAATTAATCGATTTCTTATCGATTAGGGTAGGGCGGGGCACAATGATCCAATTTGACTTTGAACAAATATATTGCGAAAATCAAACCAAATATATCACAACAAATAACACATATCAAACAAATAACTATCTGACTATGTTTGGTAAAACTCCCAGATAACTCATCATTGTAGAATTAAGTTGTTAAAAAATTAGTGACCTCATCTTTTTCCCTATAGGCGGGGTACAATTGGACAGAGGGGTAAAAATAACAATAAATCTCATAAAATAAGTGAATAACGTAATAAATTATACTAAGGTCTTATAGACTAAACCACAGTGCTTGCAGCCAAAAAACTAACAACAAAGGAAAATGCTTTTGTTATGGATTTTTAAACATTGCTGTTTATCACTCGAAAGCCACGTCGTAAGAATCAAGGTGGTGGCTGATTATATATCATTTTTCTCTACTTTTAAATATTTTAGTTGAAATATTATCAACGTCACTTGTTTTTAAAGATATCGTTGGGTGGATCTCTTTACCCGTGGTCCTTTAAGCCACGCTTCACCCTATTACAAACAGCTCAATAATTACATCTAACAGTGACCATAATACAACCTTCTATATCATCAATATGAAACATGATTATTCTGTTACCTTTATCAGCGATCGGCATTGAAATCAGTGATGATTTTATTAAATTTGCTTTGCAAATCTGAATAATGCTGACGGCGTGTGAACTATGCAAACGCGTAGGTACTGTATGTGCACCAGCAGGAGCACAAATATTATTGTATGCACAACTCCGGAGCAGGTAGTAGTGGATTCGCTTCGGGTTTTGGCACGTATGACGAGGGATGAAACCAACGAATTGTGGTTTGTGCATAAACTATACACAACTGATATTGAAGATACACAACGGACGTTGATGCCTGTCTGTTGAGCAAAATTGACATTTCCGACTTACCTAAATATTGTAAGGTACCTGAATCATCCGACGGATTTAATTTTAGATTGCGAATACGTTCCATTCTATCTTACAGATATGTAATGAAATTAATTATATTAGTTTCGATTCATAATTTTACTACGTAGGATAATAAAAGTGAAATCTTTTTTTCATAAGTAATCTATATCTAAGTATTATCACATTTTTAACTACCTACATTTTAAAGTTCGTTTCTAGCCAATTCTTTTTGCCAAGTTTTTCAATTTATCATTATATATTTACTCGACGTTTCAAATCATTCTAAATCGTTTGTTACCCCAAAATGGAAAACGTTTGTTTTGAAAAAAAAAATTGTATTGCGAAGTAAATGTGTTTACACATACCATACTAATCTCTGTTTTGTTCCCACGAAAACGGCCGTTAGGCATTACTTTAAGGGGTGGAGGAGGCTATAGAATTTTGTAATTTCTTACAAAATCTACCTGACTTAAACTTTCGTCCAAATTTTCATAGAAATGTTTACAAAATTTATAACCATTATTAAAACTCCATAAAATATCAGGTAATTTGATGTTCATGTCTAATTTTCATTTTTGACCACCAAATGATATTTTTTCCTTTTTTTCTCTCAATCTCCAAACTGCTAGACCTGTTTTCCCAAAAATTTTACCAGTTCTTCATTTTCTCAATACAAATAAATGTTCAAATCATTCAAACCAGACACTCAGTTTTCTCGAAAACTCTGTTACCATTACCATTTTGGCAATTTTCCATATCAATAGGAATTAGTGTTTTTTGAATCATTCAAATCGGTTGATTGTGTTCTTTAATCTTCGACGAAAAATTGTATCCGCACAGACATAATAAACACACCCACATACAACATAAATGCAAACATACATACATACACACACATAATAATTTTTTAAGGTATGTCAAAATGTACAAAAACCTTTTAAACATGAACATTGTAATGATGAAACATCCAAACATCAATGACATCCCTTCTGTGTAGAAGACCCACCGATGATGCCAACAATTTGTAGGTTCTTGTACTGCTAAACAAAGCTGTTACCAGTCTGTGAAGCTGATCAATATAAACTGACGTAGATATTTGATATTTTTATTTATTTCATAATTTCTTGTACACATTATATAACATTAACTTCAAAACGAGAAACGAATCTAAACGTTTGATTTAAGGTATAAGGTAACTTGAAAGACGAAGAGACTCTTACTGATCTGGACATAACTCTTCTGACTAATACTTAAAGAAAACTAAATTACGACTGAGCTCATGATTGGCTCTAAAGACTGAGTACTAATTAACTAAAGACTGTGTCATTTGAAGCCTTTTATGAGCTCGCGTTCAAGGTGACTTTGCCATCCTAATAATTATTTACAACTTGTTCAACGTCGTTATAGAGTGCAATACAATAGCTGATTTAGTTGTTTGCGACTTTTGTGGTTCACATTGTAAAGTATGTATGATTCACGAAGAAACTGCATAGTTTGTATTCTGACCGTTATATTATAATGATCATGTAATTATATTAATGGGTGCGTATCCCTTACAAGATATATAAAAGTTTTTATTTTCAAGATATATAAAAGTTTTTTGATTACTATGGCTTACCCTACGAGAATTCAAAAAATATAAATTTTCAAAAAAATT